AAACCACTAAAATGACTTAAACTTTGATTCCAGATAAGGAGAACGAAACATGAGAGATATGCTACAATGACCATCACAGAAGTGTTAAAGGAATGGACACTAAGAAAGCAGAAATAGTCTCATGGCTCTTCTTTCTGTTATTTTCTTACGCGACTGGACAGACTTCAATATGTCCAGCCCCGGAATCAATTCTCCCATGTATATGCACAAACCGGCACGAAGATATTCAAATATGGTCAGTATCTGAATGACGTATTATAAAAGGTCTTTCCTTTCCGAGTTATTAATGAGAAACAACTTTCGCTTTCAGGTGCACACACAGCGACTTGCCCCAAGTACTAAAAGGTGTTCAGAAAGTTGGAGAGCTCATCAGGAAACCCATAGATGAGTTGATAGTAGAAAATAACTATCTCCCGTCCCTCCCAGGGAAGATATTTCAAAATGTAAAAATAATGAGACTAATGCTCCGCCATAATGGGCTCGAGCGAGTATCAGCGGCTTGGCTAGAGTCGCAAGAGATGAATCTAGTAGAAATATTCATCGTCGAGAATGATTTAAGAAGTCTTCCAGCAGAAAGTTTAATGAAATTACAGAACCTTCAGGCGTTAACTATTCAATCACAAAATCTAAAGAGAATACCAACCTTCTCTGGTTTGCAGAAACTACGTTACATAAACATACAATCGGAAAGTCTCAATGCTGTCAACGAAAACACGTTTGAAAACTTGCCTAACTTAGAGAAATTGTTTATCCAAGGAAGTATAAATCTCAGAATACTAAGAGAAAATGCATTTTACAACTTGCCTAAATTACGAAGACTGGAAATAACGAATTGTGGCATTAACCTCATTCATATGAGGGCTTTATCTCTACTTCCTTCACTAAGCGAAATATCCTTTAGCAATAATAAAATCTCAGATGCAACGATGGTTGGAAGAGCTATGAGAGACTTGCCCGTGTTATCACATTTGAATCTAAATCATAATTTAATTGACAAACTAAGCGAAGGCGGTTTTGTCGACCAACCAATGTTGGAAAAATTATTCCTGTCTCATAACAACATTAATGTAATACATCATGGTGCCTTTCACAGAGTTCCAAAGCTCAGGGTTGTGGATTTGAACTATAACAAAATAAGTCAAATACATCCAGAATCATTTTTGCAACAATCCGGTAGCGGTGTTGAAGAGCTCACTTTGATTGGGAACCAAATAATGCATATTTCGGAGTTCAGATCACTACTCGATGCGTTACCCCGTTTAAAATTCTTAGATCTAAGTAACAATTTGTTACAAGAGATCCCACGTGGAGCACTGAGAGGTCACCCCAGTTTAGAAAGATTACATTTGAACAAAAACAATATTAAATTTATTCAAGCAGACGCTTTTGTTGCAATGCCTGCCTTGAGGGAATTACATCTAAGTAACAATTCATTAAATGACATGAATGAAGGTCCTTATTGGAATTTACCTGCACTGAAGGGACTAGACTTATCTTACAACTACTTCACACGAATGCAGCCCAAACTATTATACCATCTCCCATCATTACGAAGGATAAACTTAAGTCATAATCAACTATCAATTATAGACCCAATAACTTTCATGGAGTTGCCATTATTGGAGTACGTGAATGTCTCAGGAAATAGTTTGGTATCTATACACCCAGCTACATTTAGGAATTTGGCAAATCTTTATGAGTTGGATGCTAGTGTAAACAGATTAATAGAATTTGTACCTGGATTACCACGAGGCCTCGAAAAGTTATATCTTCATCAGAATCAGATAACAAGTTTACCGACGCCACCTTCACCAGATTTAGATTTACCATCTTTGAGAACTTTAGACATTTCGAGTAATGGCATTCAGAAAATTCCTCACGGGAGTTTGAAAACTTTGCATAATTTACGTCGATTTTACATGAAAAGGAATGGCTTGCGGCAGGTTGAAATGACGACTTTCAGCGATTTAAATCGACTAGAGATTTTAGATTTGAGTTACAATCAAATTATGGCTATTCACCCAAAAAGCTTTAGCAAACTGAACGAACTAAAACAAGTGAACTTGCATGGAAATACTATTGAGAACTTTGACTTCATGGCAATCCAAGATAACGCTGCTCTATCGACTCTGGATTTCAGTAAAAATAAACTAAAAAGTATAAGCCCTAATCTCGTGAACAGAGCTCTAGACGTAGAGACATTGAACATATCTTCAAATAATCTGAACGAGTTGCCTGCTACTTTGAACATGATGTCCCGGCTAAAAGTTTTAGATGCTAGCTACAACCACATAAAACATTTTGATGGTAATTCCATTAACAGTATAAACACACTAACCGAATTTAAAATGCCGAACAATAAATTAATGGAACTAAGAACTGGAAGTTTCAAAGACCTCAGAGATCTTGAAACAATAGATTTGGACAACAATAACATTGAGGTAGTACATCCGAAAGCGATAGCGAACCTACCGAACTTGGTGTCTATTTATTTAAGTCGAAATCACATAATAGACCTACCCGACAGAGTATTTTCTAATCTTCCGAAGTTAAGGATTATAGAAATGCAAGGAAATCGGTTGCAATATATTTCTCAGCGAGCTTTTGAGAGCATGCCCTTGGTGCAATATATGAATTTAAGCAACAATCAAATTACCAGTATCGATAATTCTGGATTGAGGCAATTATCTTCATTGGAAGTGTTGGACCTTAGTTTTAATAAACTAATGAGATTGACGAGAGCATCGTTTCAGTATATGGAATGGTTGGTAGAACTTAATTTGGATAATAATATGATATGCCACATTAGCGGCCAACCTTTTGATTTCATGCCTCGCCTCAAGGTTCTTTCTTTGCGACACAATAAACTGACGACAGTTGTGGAAAACACATTTGCTAAACTAAGAAATAACATCGCAATTTTGGATATTGACGGTAAGTATGTATATACAATTAAATATTGTTTGCGCAATGACCAAAATGTGCTAAGTGTTTAGTTGATTTTTGGTTCAATTCCTGCGACCAATAAGGTATTGTTGGGGTTGTGTGTAATATTATAACGTAAACTGGGTGTATCGCGCACATCCATCTCCCTCAGGTAAAGCAGGATGTTAAAGAGGTTTTCTTTATAATTTCAGGTAATCCAATAATTTGCAACTGCCAGATTGTTTGGCTGAAATCGTGGCTGTCAGAGTCATCTTCTATTGGGCCAAAATGTGCTGACGGTACTTACGTCAAGACCATGCCGTTTGGAAGGGATGACTGCTCAAACGCTGCAGTGACCAAACTAGAAGAGGGAGACCTGAGAACGTGTATGACACACGAGAACGAAGCACTTCTACCTAACTTGGCGACCTCGCAAGTATATTCAACCTTAGACAAAATAAAAGACTACACAACACAAATTAAGAACACCTATCAAGCCAACAAAATTAACAGACCATCTCCAGAAGAATCGGACTACTTCTACGACGAATATGTAGATTATCCTTATAACGAAACTTTATTGGACGGGTTGAACAATGAAGTGAGTGCGTCGCAAAATAACAGGTCAGGTGGACTTCCGACTTTATACGCCTCTATGAAAAATACAACGGACAGAAACAAGCAAGTCCCTCCAAAGCCGAAACCCGACAGTAGCTTCACGTTCTTTGGGATGCCTCTACCGCCGATTGATATGGGAAAAATACTGAACACAGGGCGCAAAATAGACTGGGTCGATAAGAAAAATTCGCACACTCACAGCCACTCTCACTCTCATAATGGAAATAAATATCAGCTCCCAGAAACACCTAAGTTTGAGACTGGTGGATTTTCACCAATTCTACCGACGACAGCTGGAGGATTTAAGCCCATTCCTGATCCGACTCTCAACACCACTAATACAGCTGTGCAAACACAAAGTGCCAGTACAACTCACAACAGAAAAGGTGCTGTAGAAGAAACCATTTCAGCAGTATCAACCAAACCACCTGTGAAAACAGTTCATAACAATACTACCCATCAGAAAATCAAAAGTGAAATACATGAACTGCAAGCCTACATTGATGACGACAACAGCACCCATGTTGCCTACAACAGAACCAAAAATGTTGAAGAACAGAAGATGGATCCTAATAACCTGAGCAAATACAATCTAATGGAGTCTAATTTAACCATTACACAAGTTACTGAAAAGGAGAGCTTGCTTATAACAACAGATACCAGTAATGATATGTCTCTACAAGCTTGGATGGAGAGCAGTACTTCTTCCTATTCTTCATCTACTGCAGTGACATCTAAGCCACCAATGAAGAAGCATATTGAGCAGGCAGCGCCTACAGCTTTATCAGCAGTATTGGTACCCAGCACTGCAGAGTTGAATGAAAGGAATCATGGCAAGAGGCCAGCAACAATCACTAAAGTAAATCTCCCACAAGTGGAACATTATGACCACAGAGATAATTTTTCGCCAAATAGAGAGCCAAAGACAAGATTTTCGGAAGTTATGAGCACTGGCAACACAAGGACAAGGCAAATTGGTGATAATGACTGGTATTATAAAAACTATAATAATTCAAATTTAGAACCATACATTGCACCTGGAGTACACAAGCCAGAGAAGCCAGTATCGAAAAGTAATATTAATGGATACAATAAGTTAATATTTAGTGTTACATTATTGTATACAATTTATAAAATGTTATAAGTACATACTTGTGTAAATCTTGAAAAACTAACTTAAAAATAGTTACTTATGTTTGTATATATTTTAATGTGAAATTGGTAATATTATGATAAATAAATACATGATATTATTTGATTTGGTTTATTTTAACAAAGCAGATAATTATTATCATATTTGTTGTTATCACACTGGTTGACTTAATTAATTATTGTTAACATATTGCATCATTTCCACAGAAATAGGTCAAAGTAAACAGTATTACAAAGTTACCCTTTATTATTGAGAATAGCAATCAAAAACAAATTATATTGGAAGAACTTTTAAGTTTGTAGTAGTTGGCGCTTTGTGCTCTTATAAGTACCTAGGAACTCTTTACATAATCAAAATAACAAATAACGAAGACACATTTCTGGGTTGCCTGGTGAAATACAATAACTATTTAAACATTGTTACTACAAAAATATTCTCTCATTTTCTCTAAAGCTCTGTATCTGTGAGAAATTTTATTTTTTTCTGCCTTTGGTAATTCACCGTAAGTTTGAGTGTAGCCATCAGGTTGAAAAACACAGTCCCATCCAAAGTCCCTTGATCCTCTAGGAGCCACAATTTGACCATGAGTCACACCTTGAAATAGCTTGACATCTAGACCTTCGTGACCAGAACAATATGCAAATGTGCACACTGCCTTAGCAGATTTATCCTCCCAACCAGTTAGCAAGTTTGTAAGCCCTTCAGGTTCTAGTTTCTCTAGAAACCACTTGATATACGGCCCCGGAAGACCCTTCAATGCGTTAAAACAAAGGGCTGTATCTTCTACCACCACGGGCCTCTTCAATTGTCTAGCAGCTTCTTGACATTTCTTTATAGACACTTCATCTATCTCCCCTTGAAGCTCTGGCAAATCTAGTTTGTGGCTAATTATTTCTAAAGGAAAATTGCTCCCTAAAATAGCTCTCACCTCTTCCAGTTTTTTCGCATTGCCAGTGACGAAGGTTATGGTTCGGTGTGACATTTTTATACGATATTGTACAACCAAGTTTAGTTATTAATAAAGTATGTGTAGTAAAGTGTTTATTTAATCACTTAAAGATACGATATTTATACAGAATTATACAAAAATTTTTGAAAACAAGTAGCTGTTTTGAAAACGTTTTGACATTGACACTTTTTGAAAGCTAGCGTTTGACGTTGACACATATTGACATATGTCACAATGGGCATTTTTTGATAAATGCGAGAATATCAGTAGCTTAATTCTACCAGCATACCACATAGACAATTGGAAGCAAAGACAACCTTAACTTTTATAATGACTGTCAAATTTTAGTTTTGATTGCCGCTTGGCAAAAATCATTAGTTTGTAGATTTTGAGCGAATTGTAGTTGTTAATAATTGTTATTATTGTCTTATTTGCTGTTAAAAAGCAGTCATTGCTACTTACTGTACAAAAATACTACATTCAAAATGCCGAGTCAAGAAGTTTTAACCACAAAAGTTGTGGTTCATCCTCTGGTCTTACTGAGTGTGGTGGACCATTTCAATCGTATGGGTAAAATAGGTAACCAAAAGCGAGTTGTCGGCGTTTTGCTGGGTTGTTGGAGAGCCAAAGGAGTCTTGGACGTCTCCAACAGTTTTGCAGGTAAATTCCTCACTTATTAGTTTAGTAATAAACATTTCTTGTTTTAACAAAGATGTTCCACTTGTCACTCTATATGTTGGTGTAATTCTGTACCACTCGTTGTATTGTCGGCGTTTTAACCATTTACAACTAATAAACTGGCACCTCACGTGAAAATAGCTCGATTTAATAATGAAATATGTAAACAAAGCTAGTAAGCAAGTTGGTGAGTCAAAAGATAAAAATACTCCTGAACTATAGTCAAAGGTTGTGCATAAGTTACTATATCAATTAGAATAATGATGAAAAAGAATGCACTCCATACCTATGAATATTCTAATTTGTATTTTTGTCTATTTCCAGTACCATTCGATGAGGATGACAAAGACAAATCTGTTTGGTTCCTCGACCATGATTACTTAGAGAACATGTATGGAATGTTCAAGAAGGTCAACGCCAGGGAGAAGGTAGTGGGCTGGTACCACACTGGACCCAAACTACATCAGAATGATGTAGCTATCAACGAGCTGATTAGGCGCTACTGCCCTAACTCAGTCCTTGTCATCATTGATGCCAAACCAAAAGATCTAGGCCTTCCTACTGAAGCTTACCAAGCAGTTGAAGAGGTCCATGATGATGGTTCACCGACAACAAGAACATTTGAACATGTACCCAGTGAAATTGGTGCTGAAGAGGCTGAAGAAGTTGGCGTAGAACATTTACTAAGAGACATCAAGGATACCACTGTTGGTAGTCTGTCTCAAAGGATCACAAACCAGTTGCTTGGTCTGAAGGGGCTGCACTCCCAACTAAGTGAGATTAGAGACTACCTTGTCCAAGTAGGGCAAGGTTCCTTGCCAATGAACCATCAGATCATTTACCAGTTGCAGGACATCTTCAACCTTCTGCCAGACATAGCTAATGATAGCTTTATTGATAACCTCTACATTAAAACGAATGACCAGTCTCTTGTGGTGTACTTGGCTGCTCTTGTGAGGTCTATCATTGCTCTACATAATCTGATTAACAACAAGATTACAAACAGAGATGCAGAGGAAGGAAAGAAAGATGAAAAAGAGAAAAAAGACAAGGAAAAGAAAGAAGGTAAGGATGGCAAGGAGGATGACAAGAAGGATGATAAAACAAAAGATAAGAAAGAAAAAGATGAAAAGAAAAAGTAATTTAGAATCGTCATTAGAATAAGTTGTTTGTAATGCTGAATTATTTTTAAATAAATTGTATTTACTAATTCAATTGTTTATTTTTCTTTACATGTTTAGGGTTTCATATTAAGATAAAAAAGCTAGTTTGTTCATATTTTTGTATTCACAAAATTGGTGATACCAACATTTTATTAAAGTTCAAAATACATTTTTTATTCAAAGTAAAATGAAATAGTCATATAACTTTTTAATGAAAAAATTGCAGTAATCTGAATTTAGATTAAAATCAATCTGATTGTTGTTGATAATTGCTTCTTCGAACCAATATAATAATCTTTACTTATGCATGCATTTCTTAACAAACAGAAAACTGTTTTGTGTATTGTGAGACCCTGAATTAACTAAAAAACTAGTAGAGCTTTTCTCAGTATATTTAAGTGAGTAACTTGTGATATTTAGTTTAAAACAGAAAACTGCTATACTCGGAATTTTAATTCGATTCCAGATTTGACAATTTCAGTGTTGCAACGTTATGACAAGTACTAAATAGTGACGTTGCGAAATTATTCGATATAGAAATGCAAAATTTCTGGATCGATTTTTCTCGTTTATAATTTTAGTCTCGTAAACTAAATATATCAGGAAATTAAATATTTCTGAACCGATAATTTAGTTTTGACGATTAATTAACGATCTGAGACTTTTCTTTTATAACTGTGTGAAATAAATGAAAAAATTTAATCATGAAGGAACATGACAAATAAAACAAATAGATGTATTATGGTAATAAGTTATTTTATAAATTGTCGCCGTCATCGCTGTCGCTATCCTGTCACTTTCTGTAACATTTATTATAAAACACACAAACTGATTGTTTATCGATTTTTGTGTTCATCACTACACTATTAAATGTGGTATCATTATTTCACAAAATGACAGTAGCTATTGTCAAATCTGGAATCTAATTAAAATTCTGACTATAGTTGCATGCATTTTTATTTCAGTTTCAGTTATATCTGTCAATATGTACCTACCTAATTATGAGGAAAAAGTATTATTACTGCTCAATTATCTCAAGTTCTTATCAATCATTATTGGCATATAAAAAGAGAAAAGAAAACTCTAAGGACAAATATTAAAATATGAACCGCAGCCGCGATTTAGATGCCAACACTACTATCAGTACCTAGGTAAAGTGACCTACTTGCAAGAGGTCGTCGACAAGAAATAAAAAGATTAATCCAAATCGCAAAAGCGGATTACAGAACAACAAAAGAACATCAATTTTTTGTGTTAATTATTGAAATCGTTAATCTACACATATTTAAGTGTGATAGCCATTTGGTTGAAATCTAGAAAATTTTACGATAACTTACAACTTATCAGACATTGATAAGACAAAGCCGAAATATTGATAAAATTCGACAGTCTTTGTAAAAGCGTCACGCGGAATCTATGGTTGTGAAAATGGTGGTAAACTAAAGTTTTGTGGGGTGAATCTCTTAAATCTCCAAGATGGCAGACCGTGTTACCTTGTCGGTAAGTTGATACTTACCTATCTACCATACATAATATTAGATAGATCAACCACTTAAGTACCTAGATCAGTTTCTCCACGTCCCAAATGATGAATAATTTTAGATAACCAAAATCTGTTTGTCTGTTGTGACAAACAAGGGTTCCACATGTTCCAATAGCTCCTATTTATTATTGCAGCGTAACCATAGTACTTACTTTAAGTAGTTAGTTCCTACGTCTAGGTAGAAACTAGATGTACTTGTTATAAATGGTGTTATCATCATGTATTATACAGTTTATTGTTTGGATAATAAGTCGGTAAATATCCTATCTACCATCCTACTTTCGTCTGAAGACTGAAATTACGTTGGTAAAAAGCATTAGTAGGTACCTATATCCAGGATTAGCACTTAGATAACTGGATTAAGGAACTATCTTACTATAGTTTTCGCGTAGGTAGGTATGATGAAGACTGACCTAAAAACTGAAATCGTCCTATGTTTTCAAAAATAATTTGTTTGTTTACGATTCCCACTGGGCTAGGTGTCTACAGCGGCAAATTTTTACAGACCTATCTTTCATGTTATGATAGGTACCGCAGACCTTCGTAATTGCCTTCCTACTAAGTACCTACCTAGTACTTATGCAAGGAGTAACGTAGACGTTCGTATTCACTTAAGTAACGATCTAAAATTGTTTTCTAATTATCACAATATTCTGTGTTTACAGGACTTCGTCTGGCTGAAGCCGATAGGTAAGACGGAATTCGATGTGCCAATAGCAGTAAAGGTTCTAAAGAGTGCCGGTGACAGAATCGAAGTAAAGGATCATGATGGCAACGTGTTCTCTACGTCCATACAAAATGTCCTCAAACCGCTACACTCGACGTCAGTACAAGGAGTGGAAGACATGATCACACTGGGTGAACTGCAAGAGTATACGATCCTTCATAATCTTCATATGCGGTACTCCAAACAGCTGATATACGTAAGTGATCCTATCTTTGTCTATACTAATAGCACATAGTAGAATGTAGGATGTAGGTAATAAGTTTGGAATTCTTTAGGTGTGAGAAGTAAGAATGACAATTAGGTATCTATCTCTTACTTAAGGTAGGTACACACTTGTCCGAGCCGAACGTGTCGAAAATTCATGAAACCTTTCGGACACACATATTTCGGATTCGGACTATTCGACGTGGAATTTCAATCTTCTTTTGTTTGACTCGTTCGAAGCGTTCGGCTCGGATAAGTGTGCGTTTACCTTCATAGGTAGATATGCACACCCTCAAAGACGATGTTAACAGCTCATTTCATCAGGCCTTTTTCATGTTGGCATTACAGTCTTAACCAGATTAAGGTGATTGTAAAATAGCGTAGGTAGGTGTATTAACTCCCTTACACTCGCATCTGCCATTTTTGTTGTTGTTCTTCATAATATTATTATTTGGTATTTATGGGCGCTTACGAGCGACGCATACGTGATAAAAATTGATAATTATCGACATCAATTTTTATGTTTAAAATATAGATAGATAGACCTAGATATTAATATGTGTACCTACACACACTTATTTTTTACGTAAAATAACATTTAAAAAATGTTTCTTCTCAGCCATGTAACTCTAGACAGAGTGACCGCCATCTCTCTCGACTGCCCTACTCCCTTGCACTGAGTGCACTCATGCAAAGGCATGCCCAAAGTGATCTTTACGTTCATCGGCAATCGTCTGCGCGTTCTTGGGCGCTCCACTCTACATTGGACAACGAGGCGCTCTATGGACACAGAATGTTATCGAGCCCTTTATGGTGTCTTAAGACACGTCCGAATAGTTTTAGTAGTTATACGTGATTTATCTACTTGCCT